TCCCGGGAATTCCACCCAAAAATTCCAGGAATTTGACCCAAAATCCCGGGAATTCGACCCAAAAATTCCGGGAATTTGGGGGAAAGTCCTGGGAATCCCAAAAAACCCCAAATCCCCAAAAAATCCCCCTCGGAATCGGCCCCGAATTCCATTTTTGGGGGAATTTTATTGGGTTTTTTGGGTACTGGAGGGGCCAAAATCCCGGGAATTCCACCCAAAAATTCCGGGAGTTTGGGGGAAAATCCCGGGAATTTGATTGAAAATCCTGGGAATCCCAAAAAAACCCAAAATCCCCCTCGGAATCGGCCCCGAATTCCATTTTTGGGGGTCCTGGGATCGTTTTCTTGGGTTTTTGGGTCCTGGAGGGGCCAAAATCCCGGGAATTCCACCCAAAAATTCTGGGAATTTGACCCAAAATCCCGGGAATTCGACCCAAAAATTCCAGGAATTCGACCCAAATCCCCCAAATTTGGGCTCCTCACTGGAAAAAGCCCCAATTCCTTTTCCAGCCCCTTTTAGGGGGGAAAAACTGGGAATTTTGGGGAAAAACTCGTAATTTTGGGGGGTAAAATTGGGAATTTTGGGATCTTCCCGTGGATTTGGGAACCCAAATTTGGGGAAAATCCAAACTTTTGAGCCCTTTTCCATCCGTTTTTGGGGGAAAAATTCAGATTTTTGGGTGAAAATCTAAATTTTTGTTAGGGAAATCGGGATTTTTGGGGAAAAACTTGGAATTTTTGGGGGGAAATTGGGAATTTTTGGAATTTTGGGATCTTCCCGTGGATTTGGGAACCCAAATTTGGGGAAAATCCAAACTTTTGAGCCCTTTTCCATCCGTTTTTGGGGGAAAAATTCAGATTTTTGGGTGAAAATTTGCATTTTTGGTGGGGAAAATTGGGATTTTTTTGGGGGGAAAAGCGGGAATTTTTGGGAATTTGGGGATTTTGGGGATTTTTGGGATTGGGAATTTTGGGAATTCCTGGATTTTGCAGGGCACCAAGGCTCAGTACCTGGCGGCCAAGGCGCTGAAGAAGCAATCGTGGCGATTCCACACCAAGTACATGATGTGGTTCCAGAGGCACGAGGAGCCCAAAACCATCACGGACGAGTTCGAGCAGGTCGGAAAAATTCCCAGAATTCCCAAAAATCCCAAAATTCCCAGCCCCAGGATTCCCAGAAAGCCGAAATTCCCCAAAAAATCCCAACCCGGAGGCGCAAAATGGTCCAAAATTGGGTTTAAATTGGGTTTTTTGGGGATTTTTTTGGTGTGGGGTCATTGAAATCCAGCCCAAAATTCCCAAATTTCCACCCAAAATTCCCAAAAATCCCGAAATTCCCACCCAGAATTCCCAGAAAGCCGAAATTCCCAAAATAATCCCAACCCAGAGGCTCAAAATGGTCCAAAATTGGGTTTAAATTGGGTTTTTTGGGGATTTTTTTGGTGTGGAATCATTAAAATTCCCATTTTCATCCCAAAATTCCCACCTGGATCCCAAAATTCCCCTTCTAAATTTGCAAAAATCTCCAAAATTTCTTCTTAAACTTCCAATAATCCCAAAATTTCCCCGAAAATCCCAAAATTTTCCCCCTAAAACTTCCAAAAATCTCAAAAAATCCCCCCAAAATCCCCAAAAATCTCCAAAATCCCCCAAATCTTTAAAAATTCCCCAAATTTCCCCCAAAATTCCTAAAAATTCCCAAAAATTCCAAAAAAATCCCCAAATTTTCCTCAAAATTCCCAAAATTTTCCCCAAAACTCCCCAAAATCCCCAAATTTCCCCCAAAATTCCCAAAAAATCCCCAAAATTCCCAAAAATTCCCAAAAAATCCCCAAATTTCCCCCAAAATTCCCTAAAACTCCCAAAAATCCCCAAATTTCCCCCAAAATTCCCAAAAAATCCCCAAAATTCCCAAA